TTTAAATTTTCTTGCTGATAAAAGATCATACTTGTAGATTGGTTGTTACACAATTTTAAATTTACAGAAGATGACTAGTGCTAATACATGTGTAATTAGTATAAATTTGCATAATGAGTTCAAGTCGTCCTAACTTCAAGCCTAGAAGAAAAATTAATTAGTATGACTCAATGGCATTTTATTTCAAACATAAAATCCAGAGCACAGACGTGTGGAATGTGAATCATTTCTCAACTCTTTCATTGAATCACATTCTGGATTATGAGGCATTTAAACAAATGGCAGCAGGGAACGGGTTAATGGAAGTCATGGGGAAACCTGAAAGGTGAGCCAGGGCAGGATTTATTTGGTTGGAAATAAGTAATTGATAGCATAGTTTCCTCAGTATCGAAGATCATCAGCTAACCACACCAGTTCTCTCCAATTTCTGTTCCTAAATCTGTCCAAGCTTCACCACTGTCTTGAGAGTTTTGTACTGTTTTGTACAAGGTTGCCTTCTATGTCCTCACACATATGGGTACTAATGGGAATTCACAAGAGAAAGAAACATGAAGGCACATGGATATACAAGTCTGTTAGGGAATGGGATTAGATCATGCAATATGGAGAGCAAGGTCCATGTATGTTCTCTGCAAGCCATGGAAGCTGGAAAACCTGTGGTGTAGTCAGCCCCTCTCCAAAGACGTGAGATCATGGTTGAAGCTGAGGGCCTGGGTGAGGTTCAGGGATGAGGGAGGTATTTCCATTGATGTAAGGTCTATAGTCCAAACACCAGGAAATTAAGAATTGTGTTTACAGGTGGGGAGAGAGCGGGGAAAAATGCCTGTTTTGCTCTCTCCTGGCCCACCAAAGTTCAGATGATGCCTGCCCACACAGCAAAGGTGGAAGATGCAGTTGTCCATCTCCTTTGGGCACTTTCACAGCCAGAAATAAAGTGTTATTACTTACGTGGACATCCCTTAACTCAGTCTAATTGACAGACATAATGTACCATCATGCTGGCTACATAAAATGAAGTTTCAAGATTAATAGTAAAGTAGAAATGTACCTGTCGCATAGATTTGAAAAAAACAAAAACGAGCAAGGGCCTCCGTCCCGCCTCTTCTACAGGATAACTACTGATTTTCGTATTTGTCATTCTCTTGATACATGTAACCCTGAATCACATAATGACTGGTTTTGAAACATTGCCTAGCAAACTTAAGCCTCTCTGTGGTGATATTAGAGGTGTAACTTTTAAAGCTTTTTCTTCCTTGTAAGTTGTATTTTAGTTCATCTTTCGTTTCACTCTCTAGCTTCTGTGGTGGTGGATGTTCCACTTTTCTGATCATTTTACCTTTCTTCTCATTGTTGAAAGTGAAACACATGAAGCTGACAGGAAGCTCTGAGCTCCTGGGTAAAGCTTACTGACTTCAAGCTTCCGTATGGGAACCAGGTAAACCTTTTCTTGGGAATTCCTAATCAGTGCTCCCTTTAGATCCATGAGCCCTGGCGTTAGTACACCCTGCTGTGGCACTGGGTCCTGGGATGATACCAGTGCTAAGTAAGCAAAAGCCCTCACCTATACAGTTACTGCTATAGCAACTTCTTGACCATGCTTTAGATTCTCCCAGTTCTTAACCCAGCAGCCTCAAGCCTAGTCTTGGGATAGGCTTGGCCTCTTCCTTCAATCCTGTCTACTGGGGACAGTAGCAGTACAGATACAACTAAGCTCTAGTAGGGACAGCTGTTTGCATGGGCTTTGGAGAAAGCTTGTGGTTATGTTCTCGATTATCTACAGGGCTTTGGTAGTTTGGACAGAGCCAGCACATGAAAAGCAGAAGTGTCTGGCTATGGGCCACAGACACTGTCACAGTACTGCATGGAGCATAAGAATTATGAATTTTGACACCTCATTCAGTACTGGCAAAGGTCTGTCCGCAAGGTGAAAAAGTACAACCTATTTTAACAGTTTGGGAATTTTATGATAAACCTATGCATATGTACATATGAAATTTGGGTCTTAGGTTCTTGCCTTGAGCTTTACAAATGTTGGGGGCAGGCATGCCAACAGGTCAACACATTTCCCCATGAGTTTGTCGGATTTCCAAAGGAATCTTTCTGACTCCAAGACAGTAGGTTCTTTGATGTCAAAGTTTGGGGAAGTCCATGAGGGAAGGAAGCTGAGGTCACTGTAATGGTCAGTTACCTCCCGCTTTCTGTAAAGCGACTGATCAGGCAAGAGTATGAATTAGTTGCTTAACAGTCATTGCTCCAATTTCAGCTGCTCTTTCTGTCCTCAGCTTCCGACGTAACTGATGCTTCCTCTTGAGGGTTCTGTAGTGTGAACTGTGATATCGAAGTTTTCCCATCTTCTTTATCTTTTCTTCTTTTCTTAATGCCAGGGAGATTTCTAAATTCCTGAAGTTGGAGGGAGAGGTTTAGATCCGATGGTGCTCACACTGATTATATTATGACACATCCCTCCAGGGTCCCTTGACCTGGAGAGAATCTCTTTATAATATGCTGAACTTTGGGAGAACCCCAAGCACTCATTTATATTTCTTTAATTCCACAAAGCTTCAGATGAAGCCAAGTATGAAACTTTCAAACACTCTGAGGGCTGTAGGAGTTTTGTTGTTCATGTATGCTGTTTACCCTTCTAGTACACACTTCCTCCAAAAATCGCAGTTATTTCTCTGTGCTTCGTTTCTTTCTTATTATGCTTTTAGCTCTTTATTTTTTTTTTCTTCAAATTTTTTGTTAGAGGAATTAAATTTCCATAGTGAAATCTAATGAAAACGGAAAGGTATCATGATCAAAACACAAATGAAACTCAGTGGAGATAGATGTAGAAATGTGCAAAAAGTGGGCAAAAAAACACTTTAAGCAGAAATTTTCCTTAGTTTTAAATCATAGTAATTGATATCTATGCTTTTTTTATAGCTAATAAGTCATGATTGACTGGATTAACAAGTGACCATTTATCTTAAATTCTTGTTTATGCTCTGTTGGAATTCCAGTTTAAATTTAAATTCCAGACAACATTCACTCTGCTAGTGGGTGATGCTGCTGAAAGGCTGGGGCTTCTCTCTGCTCCTTTCCACATTTTCATTCTTCGTCCTCCATCCTCACACTTGATTTAGGATTGAGCTGCTGAGCCCTGGGTTAGTTACCAATTTCCGGTCTATTCGTTGTGTCTACTTTCTCTTTCCTAGCCCTGCTCACTTTGCTGAAATCTTAGAAATACTTCTGTTGCAGTTCAGGTGCATTTCTGATGAGAGGGAATATATGTGCGAAATCTGCCATTTTCTTCTAGAGAAAAGCTTATTGTTTTTCCTATTTTGCTTTAGTTAAAACTGATAAATTCCATTTGATCCCATCAATAACTATCCCTTCGTGTAGCTTCTGTGTTGACTGATGTTTATTGAAGGCAGAATCTCTGAGACAAACAAGATGCATCAGCAAGACTAAGGCTAGGGACACTGATGCTCAGGTCTCAAACGCCCTCCTTACTCTTTTTAAAACAATATTCTTATTGAATTTTTGAGAATTTCATATAATGTGCTTTGATCATATTCAGACCCCCCCTCATCTGCACCCCTTATTGTCCTCCACTCCCTACTTTAATGTCCTCTACTGTTATTATTTTTAAAGCCTATTGAGTCTAATTTGTGTCCCCAAATACCTTTTGGTGTGAGTCCATCCCTGCAGCCTGGGCAACCTACCCAGCATCACACCCTTAAGGAAAACCAAGTCTGTCTCCCAGCAGGTACTGGTCGCCAATAGTCCCTCAGCCAGGGATGGAGCCTCTCCTCCACCTCTGTGTTGGGAATTTATCTGGTTTGAGCTTATTTAGGTCTTGGGCATTTTCAGACCATTTATGGATTATGAAACTTTAAAAATAAATTCAGTTCATAGAAGACTTAACAAATACTGAGCAATGTCATACAGTCTGCTTGCTGGTTTATTGATGCATTTGATATTTTGAAAGTTTTGTGTTAAAACATGGATGTAATAGTACTTTTTTTTTTTTGTCTTTTTGAGACAGGGTCTCCCTGTAGCCCCAGCTGACCTGGAACTCACTATGTAGACCAGGCTGTCCTTGAACTCACAGAGATCTGCCTGCCTCTGCCTCCCGAGTGCTGGGATTAAAGGTGTGCGCCACCACACCCGACATAATAGTGCTTTTAAAGTAAGAAATAAACTCTCTTTTGTTTGTTTGGAGAAGTAGACTAGTTTTTTAGTATTTCAGGAATCTTGATTATTTTTTGAAACAGGAATCTCTGCCCACTAACCCCATGCTGACATTTGCTGCTGCCTACATAGGGCATCTTAAAAGTGCTGTGTTTTGGCTTTTCCTTCATGTTCCCTGAGGTCTTGCTGTTGCCACACTTACAGCTGAGCCTCTTTAAAATCAGTTGGGTTTTAAAACTGGACACCTTGTAGAATCATTTCTTCCCCTATGCCCTCATTCTCTCTCCCTGATTGTCCTCCTCTTCCTCCCCCTCCTTCAGTTTTAGACATTTAATTCTGGCGATGCCTCCCAAGTAGCAACAGTACTTTGGACAGCTTCAGGCTTAGAAGTAGGGAACAATTGCCAACCTGCCAAAATGTTAGGCACTGTGCATTCAGGAGGGAAAGGGGTGAATGTCCAGAATCCTGAATGATGAATTACCTCCTCCGGCTGCCATTGCAAATGCAAACACATATTGCCAGCTGCCTATGAGCAGCTGCCCAGTTCTGCCACCCCATTATTCCTATGATATTACATGTCATACCAAGGCCACCGAGATCAAAGACAGGAGGCAGGGTCAACATGGGTCAAGATCTATGACAGCTACAGTCAAGAAGAAACTGAAGTCACTGGGGATATATAAGAAGAATGTGCTCACTCCTTGCATGGACGGATCCAAGATTCCTATAACACCCATGTGGTTATTTTTAGCCATGAGAAGCGTTCATGCCAGTCTGAAAACCAAATATGTTCATTTAGATTTTTCTTTTTTCTTCCCGTGTAGCCATTCCTCTGGGTATTCTAGTTGTTCGTGGAGACTGTGATTTAGAGACTTGCCGTATGTACATAGACCGCCTACAGGAGGTAAGTTTAATTCGCTTATTATTTATTCTCCTCAGCTTTCCATTTTTATAATTACCAGCAATATATGTGTAATTCTAAAATGATCCATGTAGGGAGGAAATGGAAGTTTGGTGGCCTTGTCTTTAAGCATACACCCTTACTAATCCTCTGCTGTTTCCCTCTGCTGGTTGAAATGAGAGAACACCATCTGACCATCTACAGGTGCTCTGGTGTTTTCCCAGACTGTTAGAGCTTGGAACTTCTGCCTTCTTCTAGGCTACCTGCATCTTTTGAGTTACTCAGAATTTCAAAAAGCACTGATAAATCATGAAAGAACACAAAGATTTGAGGTTGCACAGACTTCTGTCAGAGACATTTTTTAAAGTGAAATTTCTGCCACAGGAACGAGAAACCTCTATTTCATGGAAACTTATCAGAACCAAAGAAATAATTTTTCTCTTGTTGATTTGTTATTTTTCCCCTTAATCTGGTCTTTTCATAGAGAAACATTAAGGAAGAAATCTCATGTATGATCTCAAGCATTTGAATTGTACCAGCAAAGCCAGGAGACCCAAACTCATCATTATAATTACCATTGGTGGTTTTGGAAAAATTGTGTATGGGAGAACAGGAGAAGGGGCAGAGATTTCAACTCCACTAGTGGTAGAAGCGTAGACAGCCAGGCTCCATTATTGTTTCTAGATGAAGGAGGCCTATGGGAGTCTCTTTCCTCAGGTGGGGCTGAGTGAGTTGTCTGTATTTGAAGCTGGTGGCTAACTCCGACAGATTTCCCTAGAGGAATAACCCTGTCCCCCACAAAACACAATGTACAAATAAAGATCATAAATGAAGCAGATGTATATTACTTACAATATCGCTAAGATACAGCCACTCTGAACAGCACTGAACATTAGATGCTATTTCTCTAGCTAGAAGGAAATTCAAGTGGGAGAAATACACCAAGAGACGTAAAGATTGTTAACTTTTCTCTTTAAAATTTTAAGGATGGAGATGGAATTATAAATGAAGAAATATTTATAAATAAATGCCAAATTTTGAATAGCAATATGGGTGATAGTCAACAATTTTTATACTTGTGGCTTTGTTTAGCTATTTTGAGTGTGAATGACTAAAGACTCTATGGACCAAAGCACTTGTGAATCTTTTAGCATGTAACTTAGGTAAAAGAACTCACACTACCTCATTTTTCCAAAATAATATTGTGTTTTACTATGGAATATCAAACACTAAACGTTTATTTAAAAAAGTAGTTTGTGGAGGCTGGAGAGATGGCTCAGCGGTTACGAGCACTGGCTGCTCTTGCAGAGGACCCAGGTTCGATTCCCAGCACCCACATGGTGGCTACGAATCACCCTTAACTGTCCTTAACTCCAGTTCCAGGGGAATCCAAAACCTTCTTCTGACCTCTGCGTACATACAGGCAATACACTCATACACATAAAATAAAAATAATTAAAAAAATATTTATAAAACAGTTTGTGAACTGGAACTCATAAGTTGAGTGCTTGCTGTTCTTCCAGACAACTGGAGTTCAGTTCCCAGCATCCACATTGGGTGGCTCACAACCACCTATAACTCCAACTCTAATGGATCTGATATACTGTCTGGCCTCTGTGGGCATCCTCTTACATGTGTACACTCAAACACATAAATAAAGATAAAATAAAATCTGTTTGAAAAGTGATTCATAATTGATACCAAATCTTTTTTCATTTTTTAAAAAAAAATTTAATAGTCAAGTGATTTACCAATATTCCACAGTAGCTTAACCAATGACTCATTAGTTGACTTTGTTGGAAATCAACTTAATCACACCGTTGTTCAAGTAAAAATGGATTTAGGAAAAAAAAAAAAAAGAAAAGTGAGTTCAATAAGTAAAGAGAAATTTTCAAAGTAACTTGGGCACAGAGCCAGATGACAAAGCCTGGTGGAAAGTAGGTGTAAGGTCAGAGATACCTGAGATCACTGACCTCTGTAAATAGCACCACAATCTTCATGAGGAAAGAAGCCTGGGGCACAGGACAGTGGTAACAACTTAGTTACCAAACTTTATGAAGAAAGGTAAGGCTTCAGAATCTGCTGAGGAACTCTCATTTCCTTTTACCACTGTTAATTTGCACTTTGTGATAACGTGGACTTGGTCAGTGATTATTATTTTTTTTTCTACTGATTGAAGTTTGTACAAACTCCTGTTGGCCCAGGAACTTGTAAGCATGTAGCAGTGTACATTTAGTATAAGACAAAGAAATTCTAAGTACTTAAAGTTACCTAAGAAGACTTCTTTGTAAGCCAAAAAGTTTAGATACAAATTAAATCTGATTCCCATTTATTATAACAAAGTCACCAGTTCTCCATCACTAAACTATGAACACTGTAAGTTTCAAGACACAAAGAACTAGAACTTAACTTCTCTCAACCCAAGTTGTTATGTTTTTATTATTTCTGCCATTACATTCTTTGGCTAACCTTGATGAATTTGGATGAATTAGGCACTTTCCAAATAAACACAGTGACATTAAATTGGGAGTTCAGTTGATGGAGTTATGGGACAGCTTGTTCAAAGTAATTTTAAGGTGTGGATTTTTTTTTCTCATTTTCTCATTAGGACTTGCAGTCTGTTTCTTCTGGGTCTCAGAGAGTTCATTACCAGGTAACGCATAATTGTTCCTCCTAATTTCTTACCAGTGGAAACCCACGTTTCAGTGTATGTCTGATTGTGAGTTAAAGTCTGCGTATCCTCCTGGGAGAGACTTCACACTGCTAAAAACCTACTGAAGTTGTTCTTCTGATTATTTTGCTTTTTTTTCCTGATTTTGGTACATTACTCTACCACATATTTAGAATGCAGATTTTCTCCCAGATCATTTTTAAAAAAATGAAATGCTTTCGTGACAAATATCAGAAATTTCAACTCAAACTAGCTTAGCAGGGTATGTCCTGGGTCAAACAAAATGTTTAGCTCAAGAGTAGACTTTACGTACTGGATTGTGGTTCTTACTCTATTTTTCTGCTGGTCTTTCTGTTTTTCCCTTTCCTTTGTGTCACTTTCTCCTCTTGGCCAAAGGTTTTTGTGGCCCCACAGGGCTTCCCTTACATCCCTGAATCCCGTAACCATCAAACCCAAACTCTAAAATGTAATGTGCTTCACCCGTGCTGGTCTGTTGGTTGGGAACAAACTGGGCCACTCTTCTCCTGGTTCTTATCTGACCCTCATCAGGAGAACCCTCTTATCCTTGGCCGGCTTTGGAGGTATAGACTCTTCCCTGCTCTCTGACCCTCCTGTGCTGCCCTCATTGCCTTTGTTTCTCAAACATGATGCAGATACCATGCACAGTATCACCCAGCATGCAACAGGCCTGTATAAACCCTCTCACTGGCTGTTTTCTCCTAAGAGGGTGCTGGACCCTTTCTTGCTGGGAGGTCTATGTGAGAGTCACAATTTTTCAATAACTTCTCCAAATAATATCTCCCCAAATCATTTTATATCTCAATATGGGGGGAGGATTTAAATTCAGTCCTGGACACCTAATGAGAAGGACACATCCTGTGAAATGCATTAATTGCGTGGACATGAGGGAGTAGATTTACGCAAACTGAGGTAATATGACATAAGTGGTACCAGGAGATGCACTCTATAGGACCACATGGTGTATGGATTTCATTGCTGACCATTGTCAGAAGCGCCCAGCTACATATCTGCACATGTGAATATGTAAGCCCTCCTTTAGCTGCTCACTTAAGTGTCTCTTTTTCTGTACCTGAAAAATTCTAGCTTATCATCCTTTTATATAGACAATAACAGCCACAGCTCAAACAAGACCTTGTAACTTGTGGTCTTCTGTGTTCCCCTCTTCCTGCTGGTAGCTGCACTCTGCCCTGAGCTGAGGCAGTTCTTTAATCTTTAGCCAAAAGACAGGAGTGACCTTGGTGGGGTTTTGTGTGTGTGTGTGTGTGTGTGTGTGTGTGTGTGTGTGTGTGGCGTGTGTTTCTTTCTTAAACAACATCTTCCACAATTCCAGAATATGTTTTCCCATCTGGCTACGGTAAGGAGAGATCGTTCAGTGTGTTTTTATTGAGATGGTGAACTACCAAACCACTTCTAGAATGTTTTATTTGTTCTTATCAACCTTTTAAAGACAAATATCCTATATTTTAAAAAAAATAGTATTTCCATTTTATGTGTATGAGTGTTTTGCCTGTGCATATGTAAGTGAATCACATGTATGCAATGCCTTAGAGACCAGAAGAGGGAATCCAGTCCCCTGAAACTGGAGTTACAGGTGGTTATTAACTGCCATAAAGGTGCTGGGAACTGAACTCAGGTCCTCTGTAAGAGCAGTCAGTGCTTTTAACTTCTGAGCCATCTCTCTACCCAATTTCCTAGCTTTTTAAGGTTGGAGCTGGTAGCTAGCAGTTGGTACCAGGAGTTAGAAAACTGAGGTAGGTCTGCTGTTTTAAGAAAGGTTTGCACCTTTTATTCTTGGACATCTTAAACTTTTACAGTCTCACCAAAATCTTTTAAACATTTACCCAAATTAATTTTATTAAACTCATGTACTTATGCACCAACCTGACTTGTAGAATATTGCCATTTCAGCTAAAGAGTGTTGATCATAGGTCATTTTTTTTTTAAAAAAAAACCGACTTTCTTATTTCATTTTGTGTATGAGTGTTGTCCCTGCATGTATGTAAGTACACCCATGTAGTACAGTGCCCGTGGCAGCCACAACAGGGCATCAAATCCCTGTAACTGGAGTTACAGACGGTTGTTAGCTGCCATGTGGGTACTGGGAATTGAACCCAGGTCCTCTGCAAGAGTAGCCAGTGTTCTTAACTGCTGAGCCATCTCTCCAGTCCCATGGGTCTTTTTTTAACTACAACTTCTTTATGCCATCATTGCATATATATACACATGAATCAGGAGATAAATGACACTCTGGAATACAACAGAGAATATTTGTTTCATTCACTATTCAGCAATAAAAACATGGGAAAAGATTAGTGATATTTTAAAATATTTTATCATTTTTATATGTATGAGTGTATTGCCTGCCTGTATGTAGGTGTACCCATGTCATGCAGTGCTCATGAAGGACAGAAGAAAGCGTCAGATTCCCTGGAACCAGAGTTAAAGATAGTTGTTAGCCACCATGTGGGTACTGGGATTTGAACCCAGACCTTCTGCAAGTACAGCCAGTGTTCTTAAACGCTGAGCCATCTCTCTAGCCCCCAATGACATTTTTCTTTTATCTGAGTCTTTCTATACTTTTTGTTGACCTGCAATCTAGTCAAACTCTGGTATCAACACTGCTGTGGTATAAATGTCACATTATAAGGGTCTTTCCACTGAGCATAAAGAATGGCAAGTTGGTGTTCAAGGATGAGCATCAGCATCACCCCCTAACTTGAGCTCCTGATGATAATGAAAAGAGGGAACAGAGCTTCAGGAAGGATCTGCTCCTTAGCTTAAGCAGGGGGCAGGGGTCTGGGGTGGGAGGGTAGGGTCAGGATGATTCTAGAATTAGCATGGCCAGGGCACAGAGAGAGACAGAGAGTAGCAAGGGAATTCCCAAACAGAGCAAAGCAGAGCGGGTTGCGGCAAGGACTGCAGGAGATGGACTTCCACGTTTGGCTGAGATTTTCAGGGGAAGAATGTATAGCGGGATGGTGAATAAGGACTTCTGCCTTCAGCTACACTGATCTTAAGCCTGTCAGAGTCTAAGAAGTTTGGTGAGTGGTGAGCTAGAAACATGACTATTAAAGCTCACTCACATATCCAGACCCAGAGATAAGAATGTAGGAATCTTTAGTAAATGTATGGTGCTTAGAACTGGTGGCTGGGAGAGATCATCTGGGGTGAGCTTCGATGGAGAAGAGGCTCAGTGTCAGTAGGGTCAGTCTGTACATGTTCATCAGTCATGGGAGAGAACACAGGTCTGGAAGAGGCATGAGAACCACGCTGCAGGAATGTTGGAGGTGAGGCGAAATCCACAGGTGACGGCCAAGGGTGAAATGTTGGGAAGAGCAAGGATCCATACTAGATGCCCTTGAGGCTGGCCTGCATCTTTCCAGATGTGCAGATAAAATACATGGGCCATTAAGTGCCATTAAGTTTTGTGGAGAAAATGACAAAACCACCAGAGAGGGAAATTAAGACAAGATCTTCTCTAAAGCAGACCTTAAAATACCAAAATCTCTAGACTTTCTAGATGGAAATTAGGGACAATGTGGGAGAATAGTCATCAAGAAACATGACAATAAAAATGTCCTAAATGCTTTTTAATGAACCTTATTATGTATGAGAGGGCATTACATATACTTGGAGACTTGACTGTAAAGAGAAAAGAATCAGTAAACATCAGTAAGTTTAAAAACTTGACAGATTCTTGTCAGCCCACTCATTTGCAGCTAGAATTTTAGCTGACCATTTCTAAGGCCAGAAAAAAAAAAGTCAAGAGAAAATCTGCTTTCAGAAAAGTATGCATGTTCCCAAGACATCTTATGAGTGAGCCACAGGGCAGCTTCTCACCCCTTACACATTCCACTGCTGTGGTTTCTTTTTCAAAGTCACAGTGAACTGCCAACAAAGCACTCAGGCTCAAACATGACACCTTGCATTAACCTAACAAGGCATTATGGGTTATACAAGAATGTGTTAGATATTTATAGCTTGCTGAAAGTTCTGGGCTACACCATCTGAGATCAAAATACAAAGACTCCTCTAATGGCATCTGTGTAACTTATAACTGTAAAATATATTGTGTACAGATTCAGTATCTTCTTGAGGTTGGCAGATAAACTGGAATTCATAAAGGAATTAGACTTTATGTGAAGGATGCTTCCCAAGGCTACCTACTATGAGATAATTTCTTTCCTCTCCTTTTAGAAATAATGTTCATTTTTAACCCCAAGGCATAAAGTGACCAGGGTTAGGGTAGCATATTCAGCTGTTGCAGTAGTTCTTATCTAAGGAAAATTTTAGTTCCCACAGAAGATATTTGGCAATGCTTGTAGACATTTCTTGGAATCTCTTGAATAGAGGTCACGCATATCTTCCAATATGTTATAATGGGAAGGGAAGTCTCCTACAACAAAATGTCACCCAGCCCTAAATGTCAGTAGTGTAGAGCCTGAGATCCCCTGAATCGCTGTGGTATTGCTTAGTCCGTGCTGGGGGTCTGTGGGCAGGTGTGAGTTCTCAAGGAGGAAAGCAGAAGGAGAAAGAGAAGAGGATGGTGAGGAGGAAATTCAGAGATGAAAACAGACAGCCTTGATTGTGGCCAGGTATGGTAAACAGAGAGCCAGAAGTACTCAGCTTCTGCTTTTCTTTGGGGTTTTCATAGATGCCCTGAGTTTCTGCATTTTTGCAAGATGATGCTCCCTGGGGCATTGAATACTATCAGTTAATAACTTGAGAAATATTAGTGATTATCACAGCATTCAATAGTAAGTGTAAAATTGATTTGCCAGGTGATTCCTTTAATGAAGATTCAATTAACTTAGAAACAAAACAAAACATGAGAAGGCTTGGAATATTGAAAAAGAGGTATAACATCGTTAAACAGTTCTTTCATTTTTTATAATAATATAGATGTCTGTCACTTCCCAAGACAAAAACTCTCGATCTGATTTCAGTCTCTGCCCATTTAT